TTGTTGTTTATTATTTTATATATTACTTATACTGCTTGTTCATTAGTTATTTTTTACTTTTTACTGAAGATTATAAAATAACTTTAGTAACATCTTCATTATTGTTTTAAACTACATATTACATGTATTCACATATGTACATATAAAAATATGAAATAGCTGATGAATGAACAATATTAACAATACTTAAATAAATAACAATAATATGTAATACTGGATGTCATTAATACACAACACTAGAAACAATTTTTCAAATTTATGTAGTATAAATATTTTTATTAAAATGATACAATTATAAAAAACATATATATTTCATTGGTAAATGAGCAATCATACTTCAAATAAAGTAGGTTATCATTCATTTATAAACTTATTGTTTAATTGTAAACTAATAATTGAAGTCAATGTGCATCTTCTAATATAGTCATGTGTACAAAACTCATAAAATAATAGAAATTAACATTAAAATTACTAACTGTATGAATAGTTAATGTTCATAAAACAATAAAGATAAAAAAAGATCGAAACAAATGGAAACTGATAAAATGTTATGGGAATAACAAAAATTGTTAATGTAAACGAGAAGAAAACTAACAATTAGTAGTATTATTCTGAGTATTCAAACTAACTGTAAAGTGTAAAATAACAGAAGAGGAGACTAATATAGACAAAAACTAAAAACAATCACATTTGAATACGTTCAATGTAAGTTAAATTTTTCTTTCGCAGAAGTTAGTCCTAATGCCTCGTACATATTTCGGGACATTGCTGCAGATGCATGCATACTTACTTACATATGTGTCCTCAAATAAGATCTGTAGATTGTCCGCGGACAGTTTGCAAACGAAAATGGTCTGTATTTTGCTTCTTGTTGAAATGGAAAACAAGAAATAATCTGCGGACAAAGTTTACATGATTTTTGTTTTAATTGGAATATTTCACAAGGAACTGATGATATCAAAAAATATTTTTACAAAAATTGTTTAATATGAAAGAGAACATTATGTGGCATAAATACTTTTTCTGCAGATGGAGCAGTGGGGGAGATTTCAAAGTCAAGTTAATTTGTTTTAAATAAATCACTTATCGACATTCCTACAAAATTCTTAAACCTAGAACTACCTTCTAGACTTAGTTCTCGAAAAAGGTTGTTTCCATATTGATAACCTTCAAATAAAAATTTCGTATCCAGAAGCATTTAACATCTTTCTGTTGTTTCTTTCTTTGCAAATTCAAAAGTACTATATCCTGCACAAATGGTTACAGTAACCTCACGTAACGCTATGGCTGAAAACACTAAAGTAGCTAACCAGATGTGGACACACGACATATAGTCCCCATATAGTCGACATACCGACATTGTATGTAGACTGTTTAGTGCCTGCAAACTGTCTGCGGACAATGTCTGTAAGTATGTACATGGTTTAAGTAATTTTTTCCTTTATGTTAGTACTGAATAGTTCCGAATAAAACAAATTTTCCGTTTCTAATTGTTACTTTCATGTCGTAGTACTTTTAATCATATATTAATACGTAAATGTTAAAAATTGCAAATTTTTATTTAAATAGGAAAACTTACAAATACCGAACAAGTAAAAACAGATTACATAATAGTTTAGATAAAAATCATGTGTGAAATTGGGAGTATAAGTTTTTTTTTTATAAGAAAATTGTGTCATTTAATATGCGAATGATATTAAGAAACAAACTTTCAATAGAAAACAAAGGAACTTACACGGCGTTGAATAAGCGTTATGGAAGATACGTATAAGCAGAATAAAAGTTACAGCGTTAAGCTGAGGTGAAGAAAAAGAAAGGAGACAAAAATGAGAGCGAAAGACATATAAAGCGGGAGAGAAGTATACGGACTAATGCTGCCAGAAGGGGAAAGATTGAAAAAGCCTACAGTCTGTTGTCATGGTAACCCCGTACAGCGTTACTCTATTACCAGCTTCGACAGTACTTATTGTAAAGCCTACCGTAGTACTTTGCCGATAGTGTATGTCGACCGCTCATTGACTTCTTGACTTTGTACAACGGGATCTTATTGCGAAGCACATGGTTCTACTCCTTTTATACTGCTCTTATAGAAATAACGCCGAAATATTTCGCTAAACAATAAAAGATTATGCGTAAATCATGAAAAAAATATCAGGAATAATTTGAATTTCATATTTCCATTTTAGAATTTAAAAATTACGTTTTCAATTGCCATTCACCATCTTATTTCTTTTAGCTGTCTTTTTAAACATTTTGAACTATGTGTAATAGTAACGGTATAGAACAATGAAATTGGTTGGGTTATAAATTTTGCATAGTCATACCTGTAGCAAACAATATTTTCCATTATTCTTATGTTATAAACACATTTTATATTTACAATTTAAAATATATTTTTAAACAGCCCATTTGTAATACAACATTTCTATCTGCAATATTATACTTCATTAGGATAAACATCTCTTTTTCTACTTT